GGTTCTCCTAGATCAGAGGTGTCAAACTGGTAGCCCATGGGCTGGATGCATTACATACAGGCCACTTACCCCAGCTCTGTGAATGTGAAAAACGTCACGAAACATCATGTGATGGCAACGTGACGCGGTGAGTTTGACATCCGTGACCTAGATTCATGACTCCTGATTCAAAGAGCATGTGACAATTGTGTTGTGTGCTAGTTGTGTCCTTTCTCGGTACAGACATACAGTGGCATAGACAGTTCTGGAGACTGCTCGAGTGACATATGTGACACCATTGTTACATGAGCTGCACTAGCTGCCAGTTTGCTTCCAGGTCCAATTCAAGATGTTTCTCATTACCTTTAACGTCCTTTATAGCATAAATCCAGGGTATCTGAGGAACTGTTTTAAACTGATGGGCCTAGCCTGCCCCACTCATTCCCGTGGAAAGGGCCTTCTTTTGTTATTCTGCCAGCAAAAGAATTTTGGCTGGTGGGGTCCAGGAAAAGAGCTTTTTCTGCCATGGCCTCTGCTCTCTGGAATATTCTCTCCACAGAGATAAGGTCTGCCCCATATTCCTGAATATCTGAAAGAGCCAAATTTTTTTGCTTTGCTTGGCTTAAGGCCCTGACAGAGACTTCATATGTTGTGGAGGCTGATTGGATCCTCAACTTCAAACTGCCCATCACCTTGGTTTATAACATTGTAATTTTTCTTATTTTAACTGTTGTCTAAAACTTTAAATTTTTAATTATATTGCAAGCCATTCACAGTCATTGTATCAGTGAAATGGGAGGCATAGAAATTCAATAAATAAGTAAATAATACATGTAATCTATCCTAAGTTCCATTTAATAAAGTCCAAATATTATTATTTTTATTATTTTTAACAAAGATACATACAGTATTTTCCGGAGTATAAGACACACCTTTTTACCCCCCAAAAGAGGGTGAAAATCTGGGTGCATCTTATAGTCTGAATGTAGCCCCACCCACCCACCGGCCCCCACCCTTGGGAGGTTGTCAGCCTCTGTGCTTTGCATTTTCTGGCGGTTTCAGGCAGTGGGGATCCTCACATTGCCAAAAATGAGCATCGCATTTTCAGTCACTGCATGCTAGGAGATGGGTAGCGGAAACAGTTAGGGTGCTGCTTGGAACCGGCCGAAAACTGCCACCGCCGCATTTTCATAAGGGTGCCCAGCTCTGCGAATTGCATAGGGGAATCGGGGAGGAAAATGCCAGAAAACGTATTGCATGGAGGCGATGCTTTTGTGAAGTGGGCGCTTCTGTGTGAGAGGTGTAAGGCAAGGTGACTCGCCGCCCAGCCTGCCTCTTCTCCAGACAACCCAGGCTGAGGGCAGTCAGCTTCTGCTCCTGGCCTCGGAAATAGATCTGGCCAGGAGGAAAGAGAAAGTGAGACTGCGGAAAAGGAGGAGGAGGATGTGCGGCTTTGCAAATTGCTTCCATGAATTGGGGAGAAAAACGCTGGAAAACACAATGCATGGAGGCAATGCTCTTTTTCCTCCCCAATTCCCCAAAGCAATTTGCAAAGCCACACACCCTCCTCCTCCTTTTCCAGTCTCACTTCCCTCCTGGCCAGATCTGTCTCCTGGGCCAGGAGCAGAAGCTGACCACCCTCAGCCTGGGTTGTCTGGAGAAGGGGCAGGCTGAGCGGCGAGCACCTTGTCTTATGCTTATCCATGCAGAAGCGCCTGCTTTGCAAGAGCCTTGCTTTCATGCATCACATTTTCTGTGATGTAAGGTGTTTTCCTCCCCGATTCTCCAATGCAATTTGCAGAGCCGTGTGCCCTCCTCCTTCTTGGTGGCTAAAGGGGAAGAAGATAACTCTGGGCACGTTGAGAAAGCACACTCTCCTGTTGCTGGAAGAAGGTTGAAGTTGGTTTTTCCACCCCACCCCCCCTTGCTCACTTAAACTGAACTGCACTGCTTTTCTGACTTGTTGATAAATGATCCTGGGAGAAAGTAGCAGCCGGCACTGATCTGTTTCGGGTAGTCAAAATGCCAAGTGGCTGTGGGGAGCTGAGACATTTCTCTGTCACGCCTCCCCCCCAGCTGCTCAGTGCAATTCAATTTAAGAGAGCAAGGTGGGGGGGGAACCAACCTTGAGTGCGGATGGAGCCCCTCTGGCCACGAAGACCGTTTGGGAGGAGAAGGTGGCTGAGGAGGGAGGAGTGTAGGCACAAGGCGCAAGGACAGGGGTGGGGTGGTTGCGTCTTATACTCCAGTGCGTCTTATACTCCAAAAAATGTAGTAATCATAGAGATATTTTAGATAATAGATTGTATCATCTTTTACTGTGGAAAAATCATTGTGTTGCATTAAAATAGATATATTTTTAGAGTTTAATTATGCATTATATTTTTTCTATTTCTGTAAAATCACATTCAGTTCCAGATTTATTATGTATATCCTATTTTTTTCATTTTAATAAACCGTAGTTAACAGAAAAATATTTGAATTGATTTATTTAAATTTATAACAATCTAAAAGTAGTGTACATACATTATATTTAAAAATTGTCCTATAGGATTCATTAAATTATATTTAAATATATTGAATTTTATAGCAGGCATTTATTCTAATACTGAAGTTCTATTATATCAAATTATTCTAGCAATACCAGTTTACTTCAGAAAAAAACCAGGTCAATTAAAATCTAACACTGTGTGTAATTTCATTTACAATAAAATAGAACTTGCAATGGGTTAATAAAAAAACAAAGTAACAGTGTTGAAAATAAATCTTTTACAAAGAAATATTTCATCCTGCTTTCTCCTTAAAAGATAGTGTAATGATACCATTTCAAAATAGCCAAATTAGAATAATTCAAACCTCAGTACAACCAAAATTGCTGCAATGAAATGAATACAGGCAGAAACATTAATCAGAGTAAAAATTAAAGACATAATATGAGACACAAGATGGCAATTCATATGTTGAATAATCAGGAGAGTATGTTAACTGGTACATTAAACTTAATGATGTAAATCAAAATACAAAGTATCAATAAAAGTTGAAGTTATAGGAGCACAAATTACAATAAATATTAGAAATAGATAGTCCTCACTGACAGTAATTTGGATCAGCAACTCCATCACAAAGCAATTGATCATAAGGCATGACTGAGGGATGTGGCCATGTGGGATTTGCCTAATGACAGCAGCGGAGATTGCTGGAATTGCTGTTGTTAGTCAGTGCAATAACATGACATCATGCTTTTGCACTGACTTACAACAGCAATTCCAGTAGTCCAGGGATGGATTCTACTTACCTTTACTATTGGTTCGCAACGGGGCCACGCACACTTCTGTGCAGAAGCTTCCTGATAACATTGGGATCGGTGAGTGGAGCCTCCCGTCGGTTTTACTACCGGTTCTATAGAACTGGTCCAAACCGGGAGCAACCCACCACTGCAGCAATCCCCACTGCTGTCATTAGGCAAATACCACATGGTCACATCCCTCAATCATGTGATCACCATTTTCAAAGTCCCATCAGTATCCTTGTTGGAAGGCAGCAGTGAAGGTCACAAATGGTAGTCACATGATCACAGGACACTGCAAGGCTATTACTGCCAAGCATCTGAGTTGCAATCATGTGACCCCAGAGATATTGTGACAGCCACAACTACTCTTCATTCACCACTATTGTAAGTTTGAATGAGTAATTGTTCAACAAGGACTACCTGTAAATGCTAGGAACAATTTGATTGTGAAATCAATTGGGGGAAGTCTCTCCTTTCCTATCTTCAAATGGACAGTTAATAGTCATCTCTCAGGAATCCTTGACATTAAATTCTCTGTTGCAACACTTGTCATCTGGAATCTCATTTTTCTGAGATTTGTTGGGCTGCCATCCGCCGTGTTTAAAAGTGCTTGAAAACCTGGCTGTTCCCTGACATTGGTTACACTGAATAATGAATCTTATATATTGCATTACTTCAAAATGGCTATTTCTTTTACCAGATTTTTTTTAATTTATTTTTTATTATACCCTATCCAAGTTACCGTATTTTTCAGAGTATAAGATGCACCAGAGTATAAAACACACTTTAGTTTTTGGGGAGGAAAATAGGAAAAAAAAAATCTGCCTGCCAGGTATTCATCTGGTCAGCTTCAGCACATAAGTTCGCTGGTTTTGAGTGCGTGTGGGTTGGGGATAAAAAAACAGCTTCTAAAGCACAGCTGATCGTCAGAGAGAAGCAATGAGAAAAGCAGGCGAAGCGTGGAAGATTGCTTCACTCGTTAGCGCCTCGTTAGGGCTGAAAAAAAGCTTGAAAAACTTCTTTTGGGGGAGGGGGGAAGTACATCTTATCCTCCGAAAAATGTAACCATGAGCTGGATGGCTTTACAAAAGGAAAACTTAATAAACTGATTTTGTATTGACCAAAGGGATGGGTTTGATTGCCAAATGGCCCCATCCAACTCAATGATTCCATTATATGGACTTAACATCAATTTACATGTTAATAGTATAATCAACAGCTATTTAGATTAAAGAAAAGAATATAAGCACTTTTATTTCCACATGGAGACTGCTTCTCAACTTTGTGCTTGAAATGGACAAGAATGAAACTTTGAGTTTGGGTTTTACTGTTTAGACCGATAGATCCTTATAGAAATGGCTAGTTTATATTATTATGAAAAAACAAAAAGTTGTGATTTGTTATTTATGCCTTATTTTCCTGCAACACAGAGAGTCGGAAGTCAATGCTTCTTTTTCTTTTTCCTAATCTTCCTCACTTCTTTTCCCTCTCTTCTTCCCCACTGCTTTCCTATTTACTTTCCTATTTTGTATCTTATTTTATCTTATAACTCAATAAAAATGTTAAATTGATAAAATAAAAAAAAAAAACAGCTGCAGTTAACATTATAAATCTAGTGAAATGATTAAAGCTTCTCAGGCATCATATCAGGCATCATATTAATATGTAGAGTGCCTACTGTTAGTGATAATCCTTTGAGTTGTTGCATAATTTCATTTTCTATCCATCATACCTTTGCTACAAGGACCATCACATTTTTTACACTTTCGAATGCCATTCTGCTCCACTTCTGTAGAGTCTGCATTACATGATCTGACACATGAGCCATGATCTGTTACTACATAATTATCTAGAAAAAATTAAGAGAGGGAAAACAACAGACAAACATAAGAGAAAAAAGGAGACTTGTCACAGAATTTGTATTATTTCCAAAATATTGGAAATATTTTTTATTTTCAGCCAAAACACATATTCTACCAAAAAAGTACACAAACATACTCTCCAAATCAACTATAAGCTTATCAATATAAATGGTATGCAATTTAAGTAAGTTTTAATATATTGGGAAAAAATGGCAGATCAAATGTAAACTTCAGAATGGACTGATGTGCAAAAGAACCTTGCCAATACTTTGAATAGCTGTGAGTATACTTCATAGCAGTAGCTTCTCCATAACACACCTTTGAAACATTTCAGTGAATTGCATATGTACATTAAAAGTGAAGAGAACCACTTATTAAAATAAATTAAGATAGATAGAATAAGATAGATTTGGAACCTAAATATCCTAGATGGATGCAATGCTAAAATCAGTTTTACTATTTTTCAAAAGTGTTCTTATTCTAGAGGTAACTGAGAATCTATTTTCTAACTGAAAAACACCATATAAAAAGATTCCCATATGATACTTGGAATTAAATTGTTGTGGAAGCTATATAAATTACATCTGTCAAAGAGCTGATTGTTCAGGTACTGACAGAATATTCATACACCTTCCTTACATATGAACCCCTTGCTTAATTTATGAGATTTCCCCCAAATTCTTTTCTCCACTGAATGAAATCTCAAGAGTAAATTCTTATGGATGTATACATTTATAAATAAACTTTCAAAACATATTCCAGTATTTCATTTATTTTTCACAAGTTTAGCACTGCCTGCCTAGTACTATACTTCTGATGCTTCATTTTGGAATGGATAGATGAGCATAAAGGAATAACCTCTTGAGGTATAAATTTGGAGTTAATATGAAGCATACCAAATGAAAGGTAGAAAGAAACTTAAGAAAGCTTTGTTAAATAATATTTAACATAAATACTAATATTTATTTAACTTACGTGGACAGTTTTTTACACAAGTTGCTCCAAAACTGTACTTTCCTTCTGGGTTATCTTCCAACTGATAAGTATAGGGATTGTATATTTGTAAAGGTGGACAAGACTCCTTGCAAGTTGCATCATCCCAAAATTTGCGACATGCCTATAAAAAGGTAATCCAAATAATATACAAAAAGAACCATCTTTTGTTTTAACAATGACGGGAAATGACAGCAGTGGATTTTAAACAATTAGGTAAGATTAAATTCAGAGAATTTAATTCAGAGAATATTCCATCCATCCAAGCGTTCGTGTAGACAGACAACTTTATTTTGGTCATTGACCAATAAAAATACATTCAATAAAATGTTACCCTTTAACAACAAGAACTATTGTAGGAAAGTTCATACATAATGTAGCAACATTTTGCTACTTTCAGAGAAATAAATTTATTTGATGGTGTAATAGACAGTGTAAATAAAAGCTGTCAAGTGTTCCAGAAATTTAAGTAAAAGAGGAATAATCAACTGGTTATGAATAGCCTTGTAGAATTGGCAATACAGAAGAACATGGGCTATGTTTTCTATGGCATTCATTTCACAAGGGAAATAATGGAATTCATATGGGATTTTCCTATATTTCTCTTCCAGGACAGATGTGGGGAGACCAAAGAAACAAATGTAAATATAATATGGGACTAACTAATAACAGCTAGGATAATTATAACTAAAAGAAATGGCTACACTGTTGAAATACAACCTTACTGAATTTCTTGGGATACTTTAAGAATGAGATTAAAGCACAAAGTTTAATTTTTAATTTTATTATTTTTGTTATATTACTTTTTATTGCTTTATTCTCTATTTATTGTAGTTAATACTTGAAAAAAAAATCTAAACGCACTAATCTGATTAATTTCCTTTTTTATATTGCTAAAATGCTATGCAAGTGTCTATAGCTTCCTTACCAAGCAGTCACTTTCTTTAGGACCTGTACATCCTGCTGCGCACTGAGTATGACAGCAGTCACTTGGCAATCTTCCCTTGCATCGACCTGAGCACTGTGCTGCACAGTCAATCTTAGTTACTGAAAGTTAAAAATACCACAAGTTAAACTGCATCATATTTTACAAATAAAAAAATGAACACCTTTCAGAAAACACAAATATTATTTGATTGAGTCACTGTTTAGTTACAGGTAGTCCTCAACTTGCAACAGTTCATTTAGTGATCATTTGAAGTTACAATGCATTGAAAAAAGTGATTTATGAGTATTTTTCAAACTTATGACCATTTAAGCATCGCCATGGTCATGTAAGCATCAAAACATAAATGCTTGGCAACTAACTCATATTTATGATGGTTGTAATGTCCCAGGGTCATGTGATAACCTTTTGCCACCTTTTGCCCACTACTCTTCAATATCTTCATAAACTATTTACATGAAGGAACAGAAGGGGAACTCATCAAATTTGCAGAAGACACCAAGATGGCGGGAATAGCCAATTTCCCAGAAGATAGAACATTGGGCCCTATCAAATAAAGTAAAATTTAATGTAGACAAAAGCCAGGTTTTACACTTAGGCAATAAAAACCAAGTATACAGGTACAGATTAGGTGAAACGTTGTTCAAAAGCAGTAACTCAAGAAGGATCTTGGAGTCTGAGTAGACAATAACTTAAATATGAGCTAGCAGTGTGCTGGAGCTGCCAAAAGAGCCAATGCAATTCTAGGCTGTATTAACAGAGGGAGAGAATCAAGATCACGAGAAGTGTTAATAAGGCCTTAGTATTGGAATGCTTAGTATTGGAATGCTGCATCCAGTTTTGGTCACTACAATATAAAAAAGTTGTTGAGATTCTGGAAAGAATGCAGAAAAGAACAAAGATGATTAGGAAGCTACAGGTATGTCTAGTTTAGTGAAAAGAAGGACTAGGGCGACATAATAGCAATGTTCCAATATCTAAGAGGCTGCCACAAAGAAGAGGGGGTCAACTTATTTTCCAAAGGACAGAAAGCAAGACAAGAAGCAACAGTTGGAAACTAACCAAAGAGAGAAGCAACCTAGAACTAAGGAGAAATTTCCTGGCAGTGAGAATAATCAACCAGTGAAACAGCTTGCCTTTGGAATTGTGGTGCTCCAGCACTGGAGGCTTTTAAGAAGAGACTGGAAAAGCCATTTGTCTGAAGTAGTGTATGATCTCCTCCTTGAGCAGGAGGTTAGACTAGAAGACTTCCAGGGTGTGTACAACTGTGTTTTTAACAAGCAAAGTCAATGGGGAAACCAGATTTATTTAACAGCTGTTTTACTAAACAACTTCAGTGATTCAGTTAACAGTTGTGGCAAGAAAAGTTGTAAAATGGGCAAAATTCACTTAACTGTCTCACTTAACAACATAAATTTTGGACTCAATTGTGGTTATAAGTCGAGGACTACCTGTACACTGTTTCTTTCTGAGGACTAGGAATCTAAAACCAATGGAAACAAGATTTATGTTTTGCAGTTTGCAAAATGAGGCGTAATCAGCTGATTATTATGGTATAAGAGAAGAGGCCAGAAGATACAAAAAGTCTACTTACCAATAATTTACTTACACATTAAATCACTTTCCTTTCCTTTCCTTTCCTTTCCTTTCCTTTCCTTTCCTTTCCTTTCCTTTCCTTTCCTTTCCTTTCCTACTCTATCCTATCTAACCCTACCCTACCCTATTCTATACTATTTCAACAGAAGGAAAAAAATCAATCTATGTTCTTACATATTTGGCAATTCTCTTCACCAGCACCCCAGCAATGTCCTCTTGTGCAATTCTGATGACAAGGAGAACCTAAGGGAAAAAAATACAGAATGTCTCTGAACATGATAAATGTATTCATGCTTATTTTTATGAAAAGCTCAAATTTTATAGGATTTTTTTTTGCAAGTCAGTAACAGTTGTCAGTTTTGAAGTCACATTCCTTGCATTATGAATCCCAAACCCAATATTTTACCAGTTGCAAAATCTTTCCATGCTTAGCTTTCATGTGTATTATTACTTGCATCCAAATAATCAGTGATGTCAGGTTTACTAATAGTTGAAAATTGGGCCCTTTAAATAAAATTATTTACTTATCAATACTATTTATTTAAAATTATTTATATATGCTCTGCAATAAAGCTGAATATTGATTCCTAAGGGTAGGAATGAGTATCAGCAAAATAAATGAAACCTTGTGTCAAGGAAACAAATACATTTTGGGAGGATTTTTTCCTTCCAAATTTAAGATATAATTACATTTCTTTATAAAGAAATCAAATCATTTTAGTGTTATGCTGCTGGGAATTCTGGGAGTGGTAATCGCAATACAATTTGGGATAGCTAGCAATTCTATTTCATGAATTATTCCATATTATGAAGCAAAAAAATAACTTTAACTTTCTAACTTAACTATTTCTATAGAACAGCAAACAATGACATGTAAAGTTGCTAATGAGCAAAAATGAGAACTATGGTTTTATTTTTTTTATTTAGTATATGAGGAGAACATGACAGAAGAGAAGTAAACATATATGCACAGTCCACGTAATTATATATAAAACTTCTATGGGGATAGTGTAGTGGCCTCATAACTGGATTCAGCTATCCAGGTGATCATCTCTGGCACTGCTTCGTACAGATCATCTAGCGAACCAGAGAACACATCTCAAGGACAAACTTGTACAATATGCTTAATAGTTTGCATATCGACACCAAATCCAACAAGAGAATTTTTCCATCCTACTGATTCAGAGCAGAGGAACATTTTCCAGTATCATACCTAATCCTGTTCAATTTCATCCAAACAGAGCGAAGCAAATTAAAACCATGTGGTTTGGTAGAAGAATCACTAATATCAATAAAGGAGAATATTTGTAGCTCAGGGTTGAAATGAGGGGTACTTGATGCTCTCTGAGCTTTCTTGCAGACATTTCATTACCAAAGTGCTAGACTAACACTTATGATATTACCTGGTTTCAGTAATGAAAGAAAACAACCAAGCTCAGAGAACACCAAATATCACTAATGGACAAGCAACAAGAAGGTACCTTGGACCATTCCTCTGTCCAGAAATTCCAGAATGAGATGCAATATGCCAAAAATGCTACACATTGTCTGGTGGAGTTGGACATCGACCATTTGTAAGTGGGTACTTTTAAGCCACAGGCTGGCACAATATTCAGCTATGGAATAAACCAAAGCCAAGGTTGCTGTTCATAGAGTGGTAGCATCAGCACCCCAAGATGTTTCAGCCAGTACTGTGATACAAATACCACATACAAATGATAGTAAAAAATGATTCTATTATGAGAATCATGATAACCCTTGGTCTTCTATGTTTTGCCCTTTCTTTAGAGCACAAAGGTGATTTAAGACTGTTTGAATTTAGCTCAAACAAAAGGAAGTGAAAAATTCCAATAGCAATAGTAAAATTTTTAACAGCACAAAGAGGAATTGTGATGGTTTCAATATTTAACACATAGAATTTGCATAGTTTTTTTTAAAAAAAATAATAATGATGGGAAAAATATTGTTTTGCAATCATTTAGTGCAGAGAAGAAAATAAATAATTAATAAACTATATACAGTGTGTTTTAAGATACCTAGCATTTTAGGTCATGATCTGAATTTCATGTCAATTTCTGACCTGTATCTCTATCTCAACAAAATAAAGAAAAAAAAAAGAATTTGATAATTTGTCAAAACATACAGTTCTGATTTGAAAAAAAGATTGGTGAAACCGAAACAATGCATGAATAAACATCATAAAGCATGTTTAATAGAGTTCAGGATAATTTGCTGTGGGCATCTCGCCATGGCCATCTCGTCTTGCTGTGGCTGATTTGGCCCTGTCAACTGCCATGGGACAACTCACTGTGGGGCAATTAGACACAGGATAACTCAACGTGAGATAACTGTACTGTTATCTGCCACTGTTTCTTCGACATTATTTTAATTTTTGTCATTTACATTTCATTTTGTCTCTCCTTTCGCATCCTTTCTTTAATGATTCTTCATTAAATTGTGAATGACAAGAATTAAAATAATGTCAAAGAAACAGTGGCAGATAACAGTAGAGTTATCTCACGTTGAGTTATCCTGTGTCTAATTGCCCCACAGTGAGTTGTCCTCTGGCAGTTGGCTATGTCGAATTGGCCAGGCTGAGCTGGCTATAGAAAGATGACTGCAGTGAGCCGGCCACAGTAAATTGTCTCATTCTGTGTTTAATATAGTAATTATAATAATTAATAATTATTCATTAATTATTCATTAATTTGAATCCATGCTCAAATGCTGCCAAAGTTTGCCAGAGGTAGTATAATGTGTACAAAAATACATATATGCATGATACACACACACACAAACACACCCACCCACCCACCCACAGAGAGAGGGAGGGAGAGAGGAGGGAGGGGGGGGGGAAGGAGGGGGGGAGGGGGGGGGGGGGGAGAGAGAAAAACAAACATTTTTAAAACGCAAAGTTACCAAATTTGATAATTTGATAATTTGTTAATTTGATAATTCTATATTACCTATTCCTAAAACTGTTTAGAAAATATTTATAATTTTGTTCTATTGTCAAGAAACTGTTTACAAATATCCCCAATTTAGGGCTGCCAAATATTATTCCAGAACCAGCTGATGCAACATCATTCTCACAGTAAGGCTGCTCTTAGAGGTAAATTCATATAGGAATTCTGTTTATATACAGTTCATGTTGTATTTGTACTGACAATATTCAATACACTTAAGAACCATTTTTCTTACAAAGAAAACCAGCAGAGTAGAAGAGTCTGCTACAATCAGAATATTTTTTCTGGAAGGGTACAGACTATCATAACTGAAGTTGTTTCCACATTTCCACAGACTAAATAAAGGATCTGATGTAATGGAACTATTTAGGTACTGCAAAATTGTTACCTAAAAAAGCTAATCATGAAGTTATTTGTACATTAGATAGCCCCTAGTCCTGTGTGAAAAGATGGCCTAACCCTAAAATGTTTCCATCTCCAAAATACATAATCTGATACAGAAATGTTAATATAAATTAGAGAAGCTGGATCAATTACACATATACCCAATTTACCTGTAAGCATCTCATCTGCGCCCTAGCAGCACCACTGGAAGTCACTTTTCTATGTAAATGTATGTCTTTATACCAATAGACAACTTAAAATATGTTTTAAATTACTTATTCTTCCCCAATTTTCCTGCCCCGTACAAAAACATCTGGGATGCAAGTTGACAACAGTTTAAATTGATTTAAAGAACAACTTTATGCTTCATGTAAGTTAAAGTTTAATGCTGCTGAAAATTATAAAGGAATTAATACCCTGCTTTTAAGATTAACTGTCAAATATAGTGAAAGACAATAAATATGTTTTTTGTAAATCCCAAACAATACACATTTGTATATATTTCTGTACTCAAATACATTTTATTTTACAGTACAATAAAGGTGTAAATTAGTCCTTTCATATCCTAAAAATATTGCAAAGTATATACTAAATATAGTTTCAGAAGGCATATAAATCATTAAATAAATAACTCTTTAAAAAGAGTTTATTTTTCTATTGGGCGAACATATATTATTATTATAAAGTTATATGAAATAAACCCTGCACTGTTTCTTTAGAATTAGTTTAGTAAAATTCATGAATTGTGTCTCCTGTGCACACTTACAGGATATGTGAGAGTCTGTTAACCCCTTTGTTTTTTCACTGGTGTCAAACTGTACAAAACTCCGAATATTATTTTTATCAAAAATGTCATCCCATAGGACATTTTCCATGTTACAGAGGTAAGGGTTACTCCTGAACTTTACTCCTCCATTTAGAATTTCTGCCAAAAGAAATTAGGATAAAGACACAGATTATTACACATGGTTTGATTTTTATATTTTAAAAATTACACAATTATGATCATTCCTATTGATTTTGATGAAATATCATCAACCTTTTGCAACCTTCCAACAAGCAAAGACAATGGGGAAGCCAAGTTCATTTAACTACTAGTTTACTAACTTATCAACTGTAGTAATTCACTTAATAACTGTGGGAAAAGTAGTTTCTTTATAAATCTAGTTCTTGGCAATACCATTTCATTGTCACCAATCCAATGGAATGACTCCCTTACTATATGTACCAGGCTTTAATATAGCATGTTTCTATTCATTCATTCATTCATTCATTCATTCATTCATTCATTCATTCATTGTGGCTTTCTCCAGTCATTAGTGTCCCTTCACTGTCTTCTCAATTGACTGTTTTAATCTTGAAATATTGGTTTTAAATTACTACACTAAACTTAGCCACAAGGCTGAGAAGCTATTTAAACTACTGTAAATCACTTCAAGGGTTTTCAAAAATATTCTAATGATAGTAGCAATAAACAAATTCAGCTATTGAAAAAAATCCTTATTTGTGCTAGTACTAAAGATTTGTGGCTCCTTCCATTTGTTATTTAAAAAAGTACTGCATATTTATTTGTTTATTTAGTTGCCCATCTTGTCACAAGGCAACTCTTAAATGTTGTGTGTTGATTCAAAACCATTCTTTCAAGAGTATATATTGCAGTATTATACTTACAAACAATTCAAAAATATTTTATTAATAATATAAGCATTTGTTAAATTTTTATTCTTTCCTTCTAAATTTCTTACCTGCCAAGTGTCTTAATGGCAGCTCTTCAAGTCCCGTTGTACCATTGTGATTTAATAAAATTGCTAGTGCAGCATTTTCATAAAGTGTGTTCCCTCGTATTATCTGGAGATTCTCCAAAGGAATAGTTTTCACTGCATTCATTGCTATAACCACATAGCCAGCCACTTCTTGTATACTCTGGAAGGTATGGAAGACAAAGGTATGCAAAATATAGAGACAGAGACTAAAGCAAATTCTTTTTTTGACCTTACACTTGCTAAATATATTTAGGAAAAACACCTCCCTCAAATATGTAATATGCAAATTAAGTAACTTCTATATAGCATTCATAAATTCAAAATAACTCATCAAGAGTCAAGGATAAATTCCAGAAATATAAGATAATGTTTATCTATTCTGTTTATATAGCTGGGACTCAAGATGTAATAAAGTTAAAACAACAAATAATCTTACAGAAATAAAATTCAATTAAAGACATAAATTTTGAGAGACCTACATTTTAATAACCAAAATGTATTAAACCAGATAAGCTGTTCCAGTTCCTAGAGGAAAAGCTAGGCTTCAAAGTCTTAAAAAGAGCAGGCCATGTTGGGGCTATCTGGAGCAAGGGAATTGAAAGAGGGAATAGTATTCCATTCCGTATCTCCTTGGTGCCACCAAATGATATTAAGTTATGGGATCTGAAGAATGCCAAAGTATTAAAAAGGCAGAGATAATTGGAAATAGATGAGCTGCAAATGACCAATCTCTGTGACACGAAGGGCTTTCAAGACTAATTCCATGAATTGCATCTGAAAAGCCAGTGCAGTTTGCAAAGTAGCAGAATTATGGAGACACACTGAGGTATGCTCTTAATTGCCTGCATTATTGAATTCTAAATGAGTTAAAGGGACCTCTTACCAATTCATATTGACCAATGAGTTAATCCTAAATGAAATCAACTGTTCTTTGGAAGGACAGATATTGAGGCTGAAGCTCAAATTTTTTGGCCACCAATAAATTGTGGCCATCAAATGACAAGAAAGGATTCATTGGAAAAGATCCTGATGTTGGGAAAGATTGAAGGGAAAAGGAGAAGGAGATTGTAGAGGATGAGTTGATTAAATAGTGTCCTTATGCAATGAACATGCATTTGGGCAAACTCCAGAAGACAGTGGAGGACAGAGAGGGCTGGCGTATTATGGACCATAGGGTCATGAAGTGTCAGACACGGCTTACCAACTGAACAACAACTAATCATAGGAAATCATACAATGAAAGTAGAGCTTGCTTGAAATGCATGTAGCAATAGCTCAGACTTATATACCACTTTACAGTGCTTTACAGCCCTCTCTAAGTGGTTTACAGAGTCAGCATATTGCCCCCAACAATCTGGGTCCTCATTTTACTGACCTCTGAAGGATGGAAGGCTGAGTCAACCTTGAGCCAGTGAGACCTGACTGCCAAACTGCTGGCAGCCAATGATCAGCAGAAGTAGAATGCAGTACTATATTCTAAGCATTGTGCCACCGCGGCTCATATTTTCATTGATTGTAATATCTTGAGCAAATTTAATATAACAAAAATTTTTCATGTGTTCCATGGGAGTGTGTGAGAATGGATTGTTCCTGACTTCCCTATGTTGTATTACTTAGAGCTCCCATAGTTAGCTCCAAGAATTAATTAGAGTGCAGACAAACTGCATGTAGAACATTAGAATGTAACAGAATCATATGTTAGGAGTGGAAAATAACATTTGGAACAAAATGTCCACAACATAAAACTGATTCCTAATCCAGATGCATATTGCTCTTTTCAAAGGCAGGTAAAGGCATTATAATTCTCCCCATCTCCCATTCAGATTAGAACAATTTAATTCATTTTACAAACCTTTAGAAAAGTAAGGTTATAGTTGTAATCCACATAAGTGATTTCCAGATTGCCAAGCACTACTTCACAGTTCTCATACATTCTCTTAAGGTTGTTATAGTGGTCATCCACACTTGCAAGTTGGGTTAGCTTATTGCTTGTTCCTTGACAAACTGAAGAAAGAATAAACATATAATGAACATGAAAATCTGCATGCAAAACGGGTAAACTATGTGCAGAATATGAATTTTCCAAATTGTGTCAATGTAAAATTTCTTACTGAAATTATTCCCATCACTTGGGATCAGAATATAAAATTTAAAATTACATCTATCTCTAACTGAAACAGGAATGTTATAGAAAAAATGAAGGCATTTCTTATGATATTTTTATTATTTTTATGATTATTTGCATACAATATGCATTTAGTTTTAATTTATATATTTTAAAATGTGTATATGCATTTTAATTATAGTAATTATACACATAATAATAGTATGATTATTATTCAAACAATCATTCTGAAGACATGCATTTAATAGTACTTGGAAAGCAAATATGACTGTTAATACATTTCAACCAATACCATTCCTTCAATCGTAGCAAATTATGATTCAATGTAAAATATTTTAAACTCTATAAAATATATAGGGCAAGAGAAACAAGGACAAACAAAACAAAAACAAGATCCTTTAATATATAAAAGGATGGATTTAAATGTAAACAGTATCAATAAATTAGCAAATAAATTTAATGGTTTAATAACCATTAAAATTAAGCAAAGGTTTTTGTGAGAAAACTGCAGATAATAATAGTAAATAAAAACTGAGGAATTCAAAACTAGACATTCCTTATCTCTAATGAATTATAACTTTCAGGATTTATGGATCAACAACTAACAAAATTTAGAATCCCTAATATATTGGGGCCCTCCCAATGACACTCATAAGGACTTTGAAAGGCCTAATTATGCATTTTCATTGGGGAAGATTAATAGCTCTATGTGGAGAACAATTAAGGTTATTCAGGCTTAGTGCTCAATAAAGAAAAGAAATTACTGTGTGTCTTACCTTCCATTGTTACCTATCTGGCAAACTGTTAGAGATGAATACAGCTATTTTTGACTTATGAAAGAAAAATTACTCAATTACATTAAATATAATTTGTATATGACCTACCTTTTAAAGCATTTACTCTAGAAAAAATATTACCATTAATCACATCATATATATGTTACTTTTATGCAGCCCAATTTTAAATATGACTGCAGTCCCACCTTAGCCATGAAAACCAGCTGGGTGAATGTGGATTAGTCACTTTCTCTCAGCCTAACCCATTTTCCAGGGCTGTTGTGAGGAAAATAGAAGAAGTTGTGTTGGATATGTTCACTGTCTTGAATTATTTATAAAAATAATAAAGCCAAGTTATAAATAAAATAAAATCCCACGGCATCAATAATAATAAAAAAGAATGCCAAATATTTTGTTAAAAATCCAATTTCAAGTCTTGCCAACTTACTTCTGAAGTCTCATGACCCGGAAGGCAGCAAGTACTTACAATGTTGTTGGCAAGGACCAGGCAATGCAGAATTAGACCCTGACTGCCTGCTTCAATAAGTTGCACAAAATAAGAAACTACTTATCATACTCACTAGTGCTGAAATTGTTTGTACAGTCTTATTAAACTTTTTGAATTTTTTATTGATGAATAATAAAAAGCAGTACAAGTCTGAGAGATATGAGAAATCCCAATACTCAATACACAAATATTTCAATTTATTCCATTATATTTCAAAAGTACCTAATTTAATGATGCACTGCTGTCTCGGGATAAGTTTATATTAAAAATATTCTGTATGCATCCTTTACTTGCTAATTATTTTCTTTATTGGAGTAAAGAACAAAGAAAAATTAAAATCATTGTAACTGCTACCACAAACTCAAATCAAAATAAAAGCTTAAAGTAAATAATGAAAAAACAACAATCCACAGATTTATAGAAAAAAACAATATGTAAAACAAAATAATTGCGAATACCATTCATATCCCAATCCACACGTCAAAATTAAGCATGGTTCCTTAGTGTAGGAAGCAACATAATACACTAATCCGTGAGGCCTGAACTATGTTTTCACAAACTTTCTTAAAGCTAGGTTGGAAGAGTCATCTGAATGTCTGAGGCCAAGCTGTAGTATTACACAAAATAGGATCTGTAACTGGAGAGGCACTGCTTATCTGGTTTACTGTCAAAGTATAAATATATGTAAGCAATTATAGTTGCGTCAAAACCCAGAACTCTCATTTATCTACCTTGAAAGCTTCTAAAAATCGAAATGTTTTTGGTATTGTTATTTTAATGAGCTATACTTTGAATAAATCAGAACAGAAGCTAAAACATGGAAAATTCAATAACTAAAAAGCAATTAAATAAAAAAAATGAATTGGAAAATATTTTGGTATTTATATATTAAAACAGAAATTCAATAGTCTTGTTATAACTTATCAACAAATATATATATATTTATTTATTATTAGCTGTACAACATTATAGATTTTTTTCCAATAAAGTAAAGTTAATACCAGTGATCCATAGAAATAATGTAGCAGAATAATTTCCAGACATCCTGTTGAACAATATGTAAAGGATATGTTCAAAAGATTTTGTACAGGTGGTCCTTGAGTTATGATCATAATAGTGCTTGCCCATTAAGGTCAGAAGTCAGGACAAACATTAAATGAACTGCCTGAAGAAACAACCAGTCATTCCTGCTTTCTTCATGTTAAATGAATGGGTGGGTTGTAAAGTAGAGCACAGAATGCCTCAAGAATGGGAGAGAACCTAGGAGGTCTAGCGCATGTCCACCTGCCTTGGGCCTCACATGATTGAAAGGGCCGGGAGCCATGATCTTAGTTTTCTTAATGTTAAGTTTCAAGCCAACTTTTGCACTCTCCTCCTTCACCGCATCAGAAGGCTCTTTAGTTCCTTTTCACTTTCTGCCATTAGAATGATATCATCTGCATATCTGAGGTTGTTGATATTTCTCCTGGCAATCTTAATTCCAACTTGTGATTCATCTAGCCCCGCCTTTCTCATGATGTGCTCTGCATATAAATTAAATAGGCAGGGTGACAGTATACAGTATACAAGTATACAGTATACTTGCCAAACTCCTTTCTCAATTTTGAACCAATCAGTGGTTCCATGTCCAGTTCTCACTGTTACTCCTTGACCCGTATATAGATTTCTCAAGAGACAAATAAGATGGTCTGGTACTCCCATCTCTTTGAGAACTTGCCACAATTTGTTGTGATCCACACAAACAAAGGCTTTAGCAAAGTCAATGATGCAGAAGTAGGTATTTTTCTGGAACTCCCTAGCTTTCTCCATGATCCAGCATATGTTGGCAATTTGATCTCTAGTTTCTCTTTCTCTTCGAAATCCTGCCTGCACTTCTGGTAGTTCTCAGTCCACATACTGCTGGAGCCTAGCTTGTAGGATTTTGAGCATAACTTTGCTACCATGTGAAATGAGTGCAATGGTGCGGTGTTTGAACATTCTTTGGCATTGCCCTTCTTTGGAATTGGAATGTAAACTGACCTTTTCCAATCCTGTGAAGTTTTCCAAATTTGCTGGCAAATTGAGCGTAGCACTTTTACTGCATCGTCTTTTAAGATTTTCCCTGCCATTTTGGTCCTTTATCATGCCCATCTTTGCATGAAACATTCCCTTTATATCTCCAATTTTCTTGAAGAGATCTCTGGTCATCCCTATTCTATTGTTTACTTCTATTTCTTTGCACTGTTCATTTAAGAAGGTATTCTTATCTCTTCTAGCTACTCTCTGGAATTTTGCCTTCAATTGGGTGTATCTTTCTCTTTCTCCCTTGCCTTTTGCTTCCCTTCTTTCCTCAGCTATTTGTAAGGCTTCCTTAGACAGCCATTTTGCTTTCTTGCATTTCTTTTTTGGGGAATGGTTTTAGTTGCTACCTCTTGTACAATGTTGAGAGCCTCCGTCCATAGTTCGTCAGGCACTCTGTCTATCAGATCTAATTCCTTAAATCTATTTGTCACCTCTACTGTATATTCATCAGGGATATGATTTAGTTTATACCTGAGTGGCCTAGTGCTTTCCCCTACTTTCTTCAATTTAAGCCTAAATTTTGCAACAAGAAGCTCATGATCTGAGCCACAGTCAACTCCTAGTCTTGTTTTTACTGACTGTATAGAGCTTCTCCACATTTGGCTGCAGAGCACATAGTCAATCTGATTTCTGTGTTGACTGTCTCGTGATGTCCATGTGTAGAGACATCTCTTGGGTTGTTAGAAAAGAGTGTTTGCTATGACCATCGTATTGTCTTGACAAAATTCTATCAACCTGAGCCCTGCTTCATTTTGTACTCCAAGACCAAACTTACCTGTTATTCCAGTTATCTTTTGACTTTCTATTTTAACATTCCAATCCCCCATGATGATAAGGACATCATTTCTGGTGTTAATTCTAGAAGGTGTTGTAGGTCTTCATAGAACTGGTCAACATCATCCTCTTCAGCACAGTGATTGGGGCAGAGACCTGGACTACTGTGATGTTGAATGGTTTGCCTTGGATTTGAACTGAGAATATTCTGTCATTTTGGGGATTGTATCCCAGTACTGCTTTTCCTATTCTTTTATTGACTATGATGGCTACTCCATTTCTTCTGATGGATTCTTGCCTGCAATAGTATACCTGATTTCATCTGAATTAAATTCATCCATTCCTGTCCATTTTAGTTCACTGATTCCTAAGATGTTGATATTCAGTCTTGTCATTTCTTGTTTGAGCATGTCCAGCTTGCCTTGATTCATGGATCTTACATTCCAGGTTCCTATGGAGACTAGATCTTTACAGCATCGGACTTTCCTTTCACCACCAGATACATCCACAGCTGAGCGTTCTTTTGGCTTTGGCCCAGTCACTTCACTCTTTCTGGCATTACTAGTACTAGCCCTCTGCTCTTCCCCAGTGGCATATTGGACACCTTCTGACCTGAGGAGCTTATCTTCCAGTATCATATCTTTTTGCCTTTTGGTACTATCTATGGGGTTTTCATGGCAAAAATACTGGAGTGGGTTGCCATTTCCTCCTCCAGTGGATCACGTTTTGTCAGAGTTCTCTGCTATGAACTGTCCGTTGT